ACACACACACACACACACACACACACACACACACACACACACACACACACACACACACACACACACACACACACGCGCGGTTAGAGATATACACTCCATAAACTGTTGCCTCTGTGATACAGCAACTTTTCAAGCCTAAACTCATTAGATTTGTTTGAAAGGTTTTGCTTCCATAAAGCTGTGCTTGTTTTTCTATAATAAGGTTTTAATTGTTTGTTTTGAAATGTTTCCTTTAACAGATAAAACAATTAGTGACAGAAGTGTTTGACTGTTTACTGGATTCATGAAAACAACTGCAAGCTCTCATCCAGACTCCCTTTTATATCCTCAACAACAAATAAAGGAGACCTGTTCTCAAACCGCAGTAAAATGTTTTCCARTGGATGTACAGAAGTCTTGTGGGCAACGTTAAGCTCTCTGCGCCTGTGTTTTATAGCTGAGTGGTTCTTGTCATTTGAGTGGTAACACTGAGAATGTCTTTGGCATCGTCTACAATAATAGATGTAAATCTTGTAAAATTGTTTGTTTCTTTCATTACGGGAGGTTATCTAATAGTTTGACACACAGGATAAATTTAGGACATGTTTGTTTTTACAGGAACACCTAATTAAAACAACCTGAGGACACAGGATTGTGTCTCGTGCTGATGGGTTTAAYAGAACTTCTGGTTAGAATAGAGATTATTATTTTCTTTCCTGGCAGGGTTTTGTCCCTAAACTGTTGAATATTGACTCTGTTGCCTTTAATTTAACTTGATTAAATTTAAAAAATAATACTAGCATCAGAAATACTAGCATCTGACAATGATGCAAGTTTCAGAGCTAGTATTTGTTGGCATCATTGAATTAAATGTATATAGCAAGGGTTCCCACGGTCCTTGAAAAGTCAGAAAATGCATTAAATTCATCAATTWAAAAAAGGCCTTAATTAGCATTAAAATGTCTTAAATCAATGTTTCAGAGGGCTTAAAGTGCCTGTGACATGCCTATCCTTCAAATACAAAAAGTCAAAGAAAACATCTTTATTCTTAAGAAAACTGGTAAAGTACACATGATTTTACCCATTTTGTCACATAACTGGCCTATTTTCTTTTGAATTTGGCTCAACCAAAGTAAGACAGGAAGTGGCATCAAAGGGGAACTCTTTGAGAAAATAAACTCTCTGGTCTTTTTTATTAAAGGGCCAATATTACGTGTTTCTCAGACATACATTTAAATACTATAACATCATAAAGTATCTATGTCACCTTTAGCTGTTATTAAAATGCTCTTTTTATGTTTAAATAGAAAATAAACTTATCTTCTCATCACTTCCTCTTCTAAACACCTTGAAATTGGCCTCTGTCTCTTTAAGAACCTCTTTCTGCTTCTGTTCCATCCCATCCTTTAAAACAAAATTATTTAAACTGTAACTCTTAATTCGTCTCTCTTTGATAGTGACTCAAAATAATGTAAAGAAACATCAGATTCTTCTCCACAGTCTCTGTTAGCTTTTGTAACAATACTCTATTTTCATGCTGACATTCCCCTTTGACATCACTTCCTCTTTCTTCACTCGCAAATATCTCAACAACCGTTCAACTCAGYKGCGTGAAATTTRTTTAGCAACATGTTATCTTTCCAAAAATGCATTAATGTTTTTTAAAAAATAATGATGTCCACAGGCCCTTTAATGTTAACTCCTTGTAAGTAGGATGATGTAATACGCCTCAAATATTAAAAAAATGTTTGTTTATCTTTTTAAAGAATTTACTGAATGTCTCTCACAGCTAGTTGTTTTTGTTAAAATAAACATTTGGGTAAAAATGTTGCTAACTTTTTTCCATTTGTGTTTATTGTGAATTAGGTTTTAAATTTAATTTCAAGTGGCATTAAAGTGGTCTTAAAAAGTCTTAAATTTAACTTGCCTTAAGCTGTAGAAGCCCTGTATAAAAAGCATAATAAAGATTTTATTTGGACTGTGACTTGACTTTAAATAATAATAATTGTAAATACACTCAACATTTGCGTTGGATTTACTTAAATAAAATATGTCAACAGGTTCWACTCAACTAAATTGAGTAAATCTAACACAATTACTTCACATTTACTTGTAAAGTAAATGGAAAAAATGCTTTAGATTTACTCAAATCAGTTGAGTAGAACCTGTTAATTTGTTTAAGTAAATCCAACACAAACATTTAGATTTTTTTTGTGTGTATGATTATTGGTTTTCTTTGTAGAAGATAAAACAGAGCAGATTCTCTTTTTCATCTAACAAGTGAGAATTGGGGGGGGGGGGGTGGCTTCAGAATTATTGTTAGTTTTTGTCTGGTAGCAAGCAGTGTGTGTTCATTCATTCATCTGTTAGCAACACGTCTTGTGAACCGCTGGGCTCATTTAAATAAAGTAAAAGTAATCACTGAAGACCACCAGAGCTGTTTAACCTTAGCCAATACAAAAACAGCTAACTGAGCTAATTTTACAGATAACAGCTTGAAATGTGTTGTTAGTTGCTGTAAACCATCTCTAACACTCACAGTACCAACAGATCAGTTTGTATTTTTTTAACATGAAGCACATAAGAATTCTCTGTATTTTGAATGATAAGTATTGTAAATAATAGTTTTTTTTACATTGTTTTCAGGTGCTGGCCTGGTTTGAGGAGGGAGAAGAAACTATCACAGCATTCGTGGAGCCTTTTGTAATTTTACTCATTCTAATAGCCAATGCCATCGTCGGGGTGTGGCAGGTGAGCAGTTCGAAGTTTAATTAAATGTTTAAAATGAGTATAAGCAGTAAGTTGAAGGTTTTACCATCAGATTTTACCAGCAGTGTTGATCAGTTCTGGGTACTGCAAGTTATTTCTGTATGAAAGAAGGTTTTCTGTTGAAGAATAAAGAAAAAACATGTGTGGGCAGTCCATTCTGAGTGATTGCTGCTAGACTCAAAAAACAAWGAACATGTTGGCGGAGGGTGCAGCAGGAAAATGACAACAAAAAAAGATAAAAATGTTAGTAACATTTGTAGGAGGAGCACAGCGTTGCATGCTAAAATGTTAACCCTCCTGCTGCCCTTGGGTCAAATGATACATGAGGCCTCAGTTTGAGCTCAGAGTACTCTCAGCTACTACCACACCAAACCTATGAACAGATGGTTGCCCATCTATCATGGAGGTAGGCAATAAAGATATTGTCTTTTAAGACACCTCAACCTAAATTTGATTAATCAAATTTAAAGAGCCCCAAACACTTATATATATA